AACGATTAAAGTTATAGAGATTTATAATGGAAAAAAAATGTAAATACTGAACTTATATCATATAGAATTTTCAAGAGATCGAAAACATGTTCAGACGATTTTCCTGAAAGAACATTATCGTTTAAAAATCGATATTTTTTGTTTAACTTGGGCTACAATGCTCAAAGACTGATATTATTAAATGTAAATATAATACAGCTTTTTCAAAAAATGATCCATTAAATTATGTTAAATTTAATGTTAAGCGTTGTTTTTTAATAGAGCATCAAGAATTAAAAAAGGAAATTGATAACTTTAAAAAAGAATTTCAGCACGAAATAAAAAAATAAAGATTTATTTTAAAATTAACTTCAACCACATCAGTTATTACTATGAAAACAGACAAACTTGTATATAAACATAATCCAAACAAATCGTGTTATTGCAATTTACTTGTATACAAACATTTATTTTAAAAATAATAGATCTTGCGACTTTTATACTGGCCTTACATCTGTCAATGTGTTTCATCAGTTAGTGCAGTATCACCATTAATCAAAAGAGATAAAGTGATATTAAAAAAACATTTACTTCTGTTTTTTGAAATTTAAAAAAATCCTTAACTACTTGGACCAAAATAAATGTAATGCAGCAAAGATGAATTTTAAATGATGCTAATACTTGGATTATTGACAGCTGATTTTGCTGACAGTTTGAATATATTTTTAGGATTACTGAATGCAATATTTTCTTCATTGTTGAAAGCTTCTAGCTCACTTTTAAACCACATGGTTTTTGTTCCAAGTAAAGATGTTATAAGACAGGCAATGCAAAACAGATTTTAGAAATTAAATTATTCAGACTAACACTAAATTTCAGATACAACAGAATTTATTATGGAAACACCTTAAAATTTTGACTTACAGAAACTAACAGGGAATGAATACAAACATTACAACAATATAAAAACATTAGTACCTGTAGATCCAAGTTCATCAATAATTTCTTTAAAAAATTTCTAAAGCTTACAGAAGCTAAACTTTGGATAAACAAATTACATATGTTTTTTTTTAGGTGAATCAATTGCAATCAATGGAATATCTTTAAAATGCTGAGGTAATCAAAATAATTTTTAATTATTCAGGAATTTTAAGGATTAAATTATTTAGCAAAAAAATTGTTTGATAATGAGTTCAATTTAAATTAAAAAAAAAAAATAATACTAGTTCTCGCACAATTAATATCAGTTCTCTTATCTATTAAAATTTAGAATATTTTCCAACAATTTTGTGACCTCCATGAATATAAAGGGGAAAGGTGGAAATATGCTTTAAGAGCACTAATTTATATGGTGTAGTGAAAGGTATACCTTTATAAGATATGTAAAACTTTTTTGTTCTCATTTTTTATATATTCAAAAATTTCTCCTTGTGTTTTTTTTTTTTTTTTTTTTCTAATTCTTTTTTATTAACAGCTTCTTCGTCTTAAATACGATGGAGCGACTGAAACTTTAATTGATGGCATTTTGTCTAACTTCTAAAAATGCTCTTCATTTCAAAAAGGTGGTGGAAAAGAAAAAAATTTAGATTGATTGATATAAATTTATATTTATTAAAATCGATCTAAAATTTTTTTATTGAAATATTTACATATTTCAATAAAGAAATATTTTCTTTTTGTCTGCTAATATTTTTTTTTTCAGTGTTAATTCAACATTACAAATTAAAACTCAATAATGAAAAAAGCCAAGAATTGAGTTGATGTTTTGAGTAAAATAAGAAAAGCACAAAAAGTAACTGATGAAATATTTTTATTTTTTGATAAGAAAAAAATTCTAATAATGTTTAAAATTGGTATTAATATTAATGTTTATTAGATGAAGATGAGTAAAAAATAAGTAATGTTTATTAGATAAAGATAAGTAAAAAAATAAGTTACAAGTTATTTTTTGGTCTTGAAAATTGTTTGAATGATAATTTATTATTTATCAAAATATTTTCTTTTTTAATTTTTGTTGTTTTTATATTTTAATTAAAAGTAGATATTATTGTTTTATATATTATAATATACCTTATATTATACTATTATATTTTATATTAATAATGAGTATTTTTGTTTTTTTGTATTTCTATTTTTTTTCAATATTCCATAATTATCTTATGTAGATGTTTATGTTTTAGCAACCTAGTATTCTTTCATTATTTGTCTTTGTTATTGAGCCTTAAGTTATTTGAACATAATATATTCAGAACTCTGCTGAATAATAGAGTAGTAAATAAATTAATAAAAATGAGTTTAAAATATAATAAATTTATAAAATAAAGAAAATCTTATCTTTGCTTATAATATCTACTAATATTATTGTTTAGCAAGTATCATGGTTATAAAATGTTCAAATTTAGCTAGTTTAATTAGGCCTGTTAGTACACTTATATTATGGTTTCTTCATTTTATTTTAGTTCATGTAATTTTTTCAAAATCGAATATGCGGAAAGGAGCTGTTTGGAATGAAGATTTACAAGAAGAAGTAATTCCATCTGATTGGATTAGTGATAAAACTGTTTGTCGTCTTCCAGGTACCAAAGCATTGACTGCACTAAAATGCAGAGAAGAATTGGCTTAAGTTTATACAAATAAAAACTAAGTTCTCTTCAGGTATTACATCTATATATTACAATTATTATTTTTTAAATAATGTGGTAAGAAGAGTTATTTTGTTGATACAAAATATATAACTATTTGTATAACTATTTCAATTCTAAAAGAGAGCAAACAGTATTGTGAAAATTTTAAATTCACAACTACAAAAGAAAAATGTGATAATGAGAATGTTGACAAGTGGGTGCAAGATTTGCACACAAGTGGAAACTTGGATGCAAATTTTCCACTTGTGTGGTTTGGATGGTTCTCCACAATATAATATATCTCCACAAGCATAATATTAGATTTACTTCATGTTTTTTTACAGATAAATCAATTACAGTTAATTGGTGGAGTTACCTCATTTATAATCAGGGTGTCTGCAGCTCCTCTAAAATCCTCTAAAGTCCTCTTTTTTTAAAACCACTTCTAAAATCCTCTATTATCCTCTAAAGAGGTAAAAAATTGATCAAAGCTCCTCATTAATTCTTCCTTTTTTAATTTTTGATGGATGTATAATGTTCAAAATACCCATTCTCGGTCTGCAAAACTGGTTAGTGCCTTAAAGTGCATTGAATTGTAAAAAATTGCTTTAGAAAATGCATGCTATTTAACATAACAAGTGACATTATTTGATCCCTTGCCAAGCCCCATAAATGTATAAACATGGACGTTAAACCATTAATAAGTGGCCACATAAAATTTCTTATAAAACTTTTATGTGGCCACCTGAAAATTATTTTTCAATGCTAGAAATGTTTTATATTTTGATTATTAATTTATTTTTAATATATTAAAAAGGTTGTTTTATTTAAATTAAATATTTGAAAAAGTTATTAACAACCAACTAACAGTTATATTATTTTTTAAAAACTCAGAGTATTTTCGAAAAGTTATATGGCCTCCATGGATATGAAGGGCAAAGGTGGAAAAATATGTTTTAAGAACACTAATCTAAATGGCGTTGAAAAAGATATACCTTCATAATTTGTAACACTTTTCCATTCATTATTTATTTTTTAAATCTTCCCTTTTTTTTTTTTAATATATTTTTTTATTTATAGCTTCTTATATTGTACTCAATGGACCAAAAAAACCCTCGGTTAATGGAACATTGTTTGACTTTCTAAATTACGCTTTATTTCAAAAAGGTGGTGGAAAAGAAAAGAAATTTGTGTAGATTTTATTCAATTACATGTAAATATATGTAATATTTGAATATGTATTTTTGAATAAAACAAGTTTTATCTCTTTCTTTCATCATACCTAGCTATTTTAACTAAACTAAATTGAAAAAGTTCTAAATGGTCTAAGTATAGACTATGAATAGATTTAATATCCATAATATACCTTGATAATGTACAGCAACACTAATGTACATGCATAGTACGTTTTGATGGTGATCATATTCTGACGCACATAGCACGTTTATTTACACATATACATTTTGACATACATAGCACGTTTTGATGGTGAAAAAGTAATTTACAGTCGTTTAACGTTGATACATCAACGTTAAAAAAACTATCATTTTAAACGTTGTATCAACGTAAGTTCAACGTTGTTGTAACGTTTTTTTGCGTCGAATTAACGTTGATATAACGTTTGAATCTAACGTTGATTTAACGTTGATAAATCAACGTTGAAAAAAACTTTCATTCTAAACGTTAAATCAACGTAAATTCAACGTTATTGTAACGTTTTTTCGCGTCGAATCAACGTTGATATAACGTTTGAACCTAACGTTAATTTAACGTTGATGAATCAACGTTGAAAAAAACTTTCATTCTAAACGTTAAACCAACGTTAATTCAACGTTAGGTTTCAACGATATTTCAACGTTATTTCAACGTTATTTGCCGGCTGGGATGTATATACCCAGCAAACATGTAAACGTTGAATCAACGTTGAAAACCAGTCGCAGCGTAGAAAAAGCGTTACAGTCACAAAAACAACGCGCTTTCAACGTTGAATCAATATCTGTTTTTGTATACTAAATCGCGGTAAATTGAAACGTTGAATAAGCGTTGAAATTGTAACGTAATTTAGCCTCTCAAAATAAAACGTAGAACCAACTTACGCAAAAAGCCACTTTAAAAACGTTTCGAAGTATATGCTTTATCAACGTTAAAAACAAACCGCTTTTTAAACGTTACATTTTCAACGTTGAATAAGTGTATAAGTTTAAACGTATCTTATTTTCTCAAAAAAAATGCGTTTATTAAACGTTGAAAATAAGTACGCAAATAATCACTGTAAAAACGTCGCAAAGGTAATGGTTTATCAACGTTAGACATTAGCTGCTTTTTCAACGAATTTAAACTATTTGAAAAACAACACTTATTCAACGTTATTTCAACGTTGGTTGAAAATGTGGTAATTAAAAAACGTTGAAAAAGTGTTACTTTGCCAACGTTAATAAAACGTTGTTTTGACAATGTTGAGGAAGTGGCACATTGAAAATTATTGTCTCAATAACTAGCCATTACAATAATAATTTGCCGTAATGGAAAGGCAAGGAAAACTTGATAGAATGCATGCATATGGTATAAAATTTTTTTAATAAAGTTATATTTTATAGCCTATTTTATTGCGACTAATTTAAAACTTTAGATTTTATATCAAAATGTATATAAAGTACATAAATCTCAGGGTAAATTCGATTTATTCAGCTTATTTTTGTCAATGTTTTATTTTGTTTTAAGTTGACGATTTTAATAAAATGCTCAACTTTTTTAAATATTTATTTCTTAGTTAGAAATAGTACTTAGTTTTAATACGATTCACATTTATAAAATATTATCAAAATTAATAAAACATAATAAGTCAGACTAAATAAAGTTTTTTAACAGAAGAAATTTTTTAATTTATTTAAAAATTATCACTTATACATATATATATATATTTATATATACATATATATATATATATATATATATATATATATATATATATATATATATATATATATATATATATATATATATATATATATATATATATATATATATATATATATATATATATATATATATATATATACATATATATATATTGTCATATCTTGTCATTTTTCTTGAAAAATATAAAAGTTGATATAATGGTTTGGAAATTTTATTAAAGAATTATTATTAATATTTAAGAGTTTAATATTTTATGAGGATTTTAATATTTATATAGTTTAACATTTATTTATTACTTTATTAAGAGGTTGTATACTAGTTTTATTAAGTATCTGTATACAGACATATGAAGTCTCTCCCATTTGGCAGGAGTTTTCGAATTTTGAAGAGAAATTCATTTCCAACCTGCATTTAAAAATAATTTAAAAACTTTCTTTTCCTCATTACAAACTTAAAATACACCAAGTATCTAACTTTTTCAATTGTTTTCATTTTATAAGTTAAGAAAAATGGTTAAAGATTGTTAAAAATTGCTTAACACAAACATAAATATATAAAAGTATATCTATACAGAATAAATTTCAGCTCAGTCAGTGGCCAAATTTGGACATTTTTAAGTTAGTTGTCAAAGTAATAAGTCATTAAAAACTTTTTTTAATGACTTATTACTCTGACTAGTCAATAGAGGTATTTTAGTGGACAAATGTCCATTGGTATAAAATTTTTTCTAAGTTTCCCTTGTAAACATTTTCAAAACATGACAGCTATGTGTCATAAAAACTATATATTCATATATATATATATATATATATATATATATATATATATATATATATATATATATATATATATATATATATATATATATATATATATATATATATATATATATATATATATATATATATATATATATATATATATATATATATATATATATATATATATATATATATATATATATAAATATATATATATATATATATATATATATATATATATATATATATATATATATATATATATATATATATATGTGTATATATATGTAAATAATGTATATATAAAAAGTTATATATACATTATTTACATATACATATAGATTTGAAGCAGAGGCAGTTGCTCCATCTTTTTAAAAAAAGATGGATGGTTATTTTGGCCAACTTGTGTTTATGCAATGAAAGCTACCTATAATAATTTTCCAATTATTGATTCCTGCAACAAGCTTAGACTTAAAAGAGTTAAAGTAACTGGAGGTCATTGAATTTTACAGTAATTATTGCTATTTTAATTGTTTTATATGAATAAAAAAACTATTATAGCTTTATTTTAACGGTGAAGTATTATATCAAATAAACTATTTTATTTTTATTCCGGAATAAGTAATATTTTGAATGTGGTTATGGTATTATTACTGCCTAGATATATATTGTAATCTGTTTACATTTATTCTACTTTTTTGTTTTTACATAATTTTATTTATATTTATTTTACTAAATAATTACTAATAGAAAAAGAAGTATATGCAGGATTTAATTTCACGACTAAAGAGGACTCCGAAGAAGAATGTAAGTAATTATGTTTGTGAATAATTTTGTTTCTTTTCGAATTTAACTTTACTTTGGTTTTATATAGAAAAGAATAAAAAAAAAATTAATATTAACTATTGGTCAAAGCTGATTTCAATAATACTGTCTAAATTTTTTGACTTAGTGGTAGTTTGATTACCAGTATAAATTTATTTAGTAAAGTTCTGGTGGATCAAAGATCGAGGAATGACTTGGTTTTAACTGGTTTGCATCTTATGAACGAAGTACATAATATGATTTAAATTGATGATTTATAGTTACACCTATTGAAGTAAGTTTTATTTAGTAAATTAATGTATGGATACATGACTATTTTTAGTTGCAAATTTTGTATATATATATGTATATATATATATACAAAATTTGCAACTAAAATATATATATATATATATATATGTATATATATATATATATATAGAAAATTTAAATAAGTGCCAGTTCGAATAACTGTAAGTTTACTGTAATATATATATATATATATATATATATATATATATATATATATATATATATATATATATATATATATATATATATATATATATTATTGTTATTATTATTATTATATAATATCTCTTTATAATAATACTGGACTTAATAGTAGTAGTAGTGCACTTTCGAGCCTGTTTGACACGATACTCTTGGCAACCATTGCATCCGAGGTAGTGACGAGAAAGAGTCTTACCTTTGCTTTATAAGAAAACGCGAGCAAACGTGAAACTCATATTGTACGTACATAAACTTCATGTTATGTAATGTTAAAACATGCTTAAACATATATCAAGTTCAACAGTTTGATTTTCACTTAAGAACTGCATTTCGTCAACCTTTGCTTAATTTCTAATCTTTTGTGTTTTATCCGTTAAAAAACAATTTTTATATAATTTGAAATCTTCAAGACACTACGTGACGGCGTAGTAGAGTGGTTAGCGCACTGGACTTCGAAACATAGCTGCCCTGGTTCGAGTCCTACCATTGGCGACTACTGTTTTAATTTTTTTTTAGACTTTTTTAAATACTAATTCAAATACTTATAAAGTTTTATAGATATTGTATATAGACAACATATGTAAAGATATTAATCAAAAGTTTGATCCTTGCATTTTGACACAGAACCAACTTCGCTAACGAGAGAAAAAAAATCGTTCACAAATTTCAAAATTTTGTTTTTTCATGAAGTCTTTTAACACTTAGTTTCCAACTTTCTTGACATATTCCAAGTCTTTTTGAGAAAAAACTTTGTTGATCAAATATACAAAAACAGAAATTCAGGTTTTTTGTATATGATAAATATTGCTGTGGTACAAAGTGCCAACCTAGGTTTTTTAAACAAAATGCCAATCGAGTTTTTCTTCCACGCGGTTTTAATCACCACGAGGCTTAGTTAAATGCTTAGTTAAATACTTAAAAAAAGATAAAATTTAAGGCTTAAAAAAAGAATTTTTTACAAATTTTTTCTTACATCTCTTTAATCCTTGACTTTTGGATTTAGATTTATTACATTGATAGTAACATTATCATATTATTATTTTTAGATTATTACATTGTTTGATATTTTTTTAGATTAATAAATTTGAAAATAAATCATGTCAGGTAGCATTTTTTTTTTTTTTTTCTTTAGTTAATTTTTTTTTTTAATTGCTTATTGACCTCTTTTTAAATTTTTAGAAGCTTTAGATGACGATTTGATGTTTAGTAAGTCGCTATTATTTTATTTATTCAGTAATTCAATTTTAGTCGTCTTTATTTGTTCATTAGGTCGCCAATTTTGTTTTTATTTATTTGTTAAGTTTTTTCGTTTATTTGCTTTCCATATACTTTACTCTTTGCTTTTAGTTAAACCACATTTTTTTAAGTTGTCTGTATTTTTTTTTATTTTTAACACTGAACATATTTTTATTTAGTGGTGCAACCACAACAAAGTAAGAATTTTTTATATACTTTTTTATAGCCCCTTAAACCTACAAAAAACCTATTTTGTATTTGTTGTGCCATTGATAATATTTTTTCTCTTTTACTTAATTATTTAATCTGTTGTTTTTTTTAAGCAGATGCTCAACAACAACCACATTCTGGTAAGAAGGAAACCTTTTGTTTCAATTTATTTATATCTTTTTTTTTAAAATTTCCTAACATTTTGTCGTTTTCTTTTCTTTACTAATGTATTTTTTTTAATCTGTATTTATATTTTTTCTAGAACCGCAACAACAACTACAATCAGGTAAAAAAAAAATTCCAATGTATTTAAAGTCTCTTTTTAAAAAAATTTTAAAAAAGATTTCTATTAAAAAAAAAATATTATGCGTGTTTATTTTTTAATACTACACATTTTTTAATTTGTAGTGCAACAACAACCTGGTAAGAAATTAATTTTATACGTTTTTCAATAATCTTTTTTTTATAAAAAACCTATTTTTATTTGTTGTGCTGTAGATATCAAATTGTTTTTCTAATACTTAATTATTACTTTTTATCTTTTTTTATATTTTAACTAGAAACACAACAATTACAATATGGTAAGAAAAAACCTTTTGTTTTATTGAATGTAAATCTTTCTTTAAAAAGTTCTTAATAATTTGTTTTTTCTTTTTCTTTACTATTGTATTTTTTTAAATCTGTATTAATTTTTTTAGTACAACAACAACCACAATCAGGTAAAAAAAACTCAATTTTTTATTCAATGTTTTGTTAATAACAGTTAGTTTTCTATTTACTTGAAATTTATTGTTTTAAATTTTTAAAGACTTAAAATGTATTAGTATAAGTATTATTTTTTTTTTGTAGTGAACTTTCAACAAATGTTTTGTAAGTTTTGATTTTTAAATTTTTTTTTAAATTTATTACTGATTAAGTTTATAATTTGATTGAATTATTTTTGATTGTGTCATAATCAATAGCTCATGTTATTTTAGTGCAATCTATGGAAGAAATGTGTAAGATTTTAGATTGTATTGATTATTAAACTTTTTATTTGTTACTGTAATACTCATGTTTTATTTAATTTTTTAAAATATCACTTTACATAGAAAATGTTAATAAAATTGTTTTTTCTCATTAGTTAATAATTTTTTAAAGAAGATGGAGGAGCAATCCTGTATGAAAATATCTTTAACTTTATAAATTTTTAAATTGGTTCTTTCCAAAAAATAATTGATTATATGCATACATATGGTGGTGGTATACACATCACCATATTATGTAAACATATTGTTTTATTTAAACATATAAAAGAATTTAGCTTTTTTTATTGTAAAGTTTCTTATGTATTATGAAATCATAGATTTTTTGATTATATATAGCCCGAACACCATCATTGTCAATGGCAGCAGCTGCCACAACTCCTGGTAAATAAACAGCTTTTTTTATATTACAACTAGAATAATTATTAGTTACTGTTAATATTTTATTTAGTTAATTTTTTTCATACTTTATCAGCAACAATAACAACAACAACAACAACAACAGCATCTTCGTCATCATCTGCTACAAGTGCAGCTGCTGCTGGTAAGTTAATTTTTAGTTTTGTATTTCATTCGTATGAATACTGTGTTATTATTATGTAACTGTAAAATGTGATGTTTACTTATTTTTTTAAATTTTTAATTTCTTTTTTATTTTTATAATAATGTATAAGATTCAAATTTGTTTATTTAATATTGTATAAGATTCATTTTGTTACTTTTATCACTTTAGATTTGTCATATGAGGCTTTTATAGCCTACAGGAGGAGTCAACCAGGACCCATATCCTACAGGCCCCATAGGATATGGGTCTCAAATAATGGGGCAGATCTCCCCTCTTTTCGTTGGGGGAGAAGAAGAAGAAATGGGAGGGGGGTGGGAGGGGGGTGTTACGTATAATTATAATTATAATTGATTATACAAAATATATACAAATAAATAAAATAAAATTTTACAATAAGCACTGTTGTTTTTTTTTACCCTTCCTAAGATAAATTTTGCTAATGTTGGAAATGATTTTAAACAATAAAGGCGTTTATGACTTTTTTATTTAACATATGGGTGCCTTACAGTAAAAAGTACCAATCTTCTGAGTTACTGATACAGTTGCATAGAGTCAGGAATAAGTCACAAAATAAAACAAAAATTAGCTTGATAGCATCATTTTTAAAAGTTCTACATAGTTTTTCATGGAAGTGTTTTAAAATGAAATTACAGTAAAAAAGACTTTAAAAATTGACAATTTAAGTGAGCTAATAGTGATTTGCTAATAAAAATTATAGCGATGCTAAAATAAAATTTAGATTTAGTGAGAAATAAAGCCCATTTTCGACAAATCCAGATTTACTTGGTCGATGACTTTTAAAACTGATTCTACGCTGAAAGTTTCTGTTTTTATCACTTATTGAAATAAAAACAATTTTCTCAGTTTTAATTAAAACATTTTAAAATTTAAGGGAAAATGCCTATTTTCAATTGTTATTTTTAAGGAGACCTGATAAGTAAAGATTAATAAACGAGGGTTGGTGTGGCTTGGTAAGTTTGGAGTGGGTATAAATATTTTCTCAAAAAAAGCGTCTCCTCCCTATCCTTTAGGATTTTAGATTCACCATTAAATTTTGACATAAGTTGCAAGAAGTGTCTCGCAAATGCCATTTATGTTAAAGTTAGTGTTTACGCAATCAATAAGTTTAGTCTTCGTATCTAGGACATTAAAACTTTCATTTGATTGAGATGTTTTCATTTGATTGAGATGTTTTCATTTGATTGAGATTTTCTTGCGTTATAAACCGGATAATAGTTCTTATGAACTGTAAGCACGCGGATAAAGAGTGCGTCAATATCCTAAAGACCCGTATTTTACGGGTCATGACAGCTAGTGTTATAATATTTATAGGGTTTTATTTGTCAATATAGGAATACCAACAATATTGCAATATTTTTTTGTTTTAAATAAATGAATTTTGTTGTCTAACAAAAATTCAAAAGTCCAAAATTTAAATCTATAAGACACTTTAGTTAATAACACTGTTGAAAACTAACCAAAAGTCTCTAGAATCGACATCTAAGATAAGATGCAAGGTTTAGTAAACTGAGAATAACAGAGATTTACATCAGACAAGACTTTATTTATACATTAGCTTATTGCAATAATAAAAAGGACAATTTTTTCTTAAGAGAGATGTTCTTATAAAAAAGCTGAAAAACGTAGTTAATGTTGAAAGATGTAGAAAAGAATGAGGCTTGATTTAAGACTGAAGAGAAGTAATAAAAGCTTCCAAACTTTTATTCCAGAAGCAATATAAGCTTACAAGATCCACTTTTTGCACACATATTATGGATATAAGCATATTTGTTTGCTATTTGTTTAGATGCTGACATACAATATCCTTTCATTGTTGTATAAACTTTAGTATTTATATAGAGAAGTATTTGCCAGATGATCAGATGGATGTGTGGTGTGACTCTAACAAGATATAAAAAGTAGGCATAATCTTAGACAGATTAGAAAAAACGTTGTATCAAACAACCTTTTTTTTTAGAAAAAGTTAAAGTAATTCAGGTATTAATATGTAGAGTGGTAGCAGCTTCAGTATTGAATGGTTGTGGTTGAAGTAAGAAAATTTGAAGAGTGTGCCTTACATAGTGCCATAATAAAGATGATGACGATTATCATGATGACGATCAACAACATCAACATAATTTTTATTATCATTGTCAAGCTTTCCATTTTTATGCTGTTGATGATAATGATGATGATGATGATGATGATGATGATGATGATGATAATGATGATGAAGATGATGATGGTGATGATGATGGTTATGATGATTATGATGATCATGTTGATCACAATGATGTTCATATATGCATATATATACAAAATATACCATGAATTTTAAATTTAAAAAATATACTTTAGGATGTATAAATGTTTATGCAGCCTGGTCTCAAACCCGGCCCTGGCCCCGGCTATATTTTATCAAACCCGGCTTCGACCCCAGTCAAATATCAACCCCAGTTGTTTACTACAAAGCATTTCAAAAATAAAAAACGTCGTGTTATTTTTAAAAACAATTACTTATTTTATGCTATTACGACAATCACAATATATATCTATATATCTATATATATATATATATATATATATATATATATATATATATATATATATATATATATATATATATATATATATATATATATATATATATATATATATATATATATATATATATATATATATATATATTAAATTTAATTATAATCATACTAATTCAATAACATTTTTTAAACATTTGCTTTCAGACTGATAATGATACAAGTTTTATTTTGTGATTTAGATTCTGTATCTCAATGATATCCTGGCTTATCGATACGATATCCTGGCTTATCGATACGATATCCTGTAAATCCACTTACACACATAAATTTTACTCACACACATAAATCCTGTAAATTCACTCACACACATAAATCTTAAAAAAGATGTTTATATTTTTATCTATAAATTGTAAATTTTATATAAATAAATTGTATATTTTTTATGTTTTTCGTTATATATTACTATTTGTATTAAAAATCGACTTTGGAAATATTGCAAGTGCAGAGTTCAACATACAATTTTGTTTTATTTGCAAATTCAATATACATTATAACCAAGTTTAATCACGTTTAATAATATTTTGCGATATTTTCTCCAGCGCATTTGAGCGTTGATTTAACGTTATATTTCAACCTTTACTCGACGTCTTTGAGTCACGTTAAATCAACGTTTTACTACCAACGTTACAAATCCTTGCAAAATCGACTGCTTTAACAACGTTAAAGTAACGCTTTTCAAGTAACGTTTTTTCAACGTTAAGTTGCGGCGCCTATGCAACGCTTTTAAAGTAACGCTTTTTCAACGTTTAGTTGAGACATTTTTGTAACGTCTTTTAGTAACGATTTTTCAACGTTACGCTACAACGTTTAATCAAAGTTTCTTTAACAACGTGGCATATCTTTGCAAAATCGATTACTTTGTCAACGTTTCCGCAACATTTTTTGCGACAGGTTTTCAACGTTGATTCAACGCTGAAATGTTTGCTGGGTATATATATATATATATATATATATATATATATATATATATATATATATATATACATATATATATATATATGTATATATATAAATATATATATGTATATATATATATATATATATATATATATAATATATATATATATATATATATATATATATATATATATATATATATATAATATATATATATATATATATATATATAAACAATATTAAAAAATGTATTCTACAAAATAGAGTGCTTAATGTTCTTAAAAGAACAGTGGCCGTATTCTCATCTCTCCGTTAAGCTTAACGGAGCGTTTGTCAAAAAGTTCTATTTGACTACATTAATTTAAAAAATTCTTTATAAATATAAATTTTTAAATAAAATTGTTTTATTTTAGTATTATTTTTATTTAAACAAATTTAAATAAATTTTTTTTCATTTCTTTACATAAAGATGTTGTAACAAAATTTTTTATAAACGCTCCGTTAAGCTTAACGGAGAGATGAGAATACGGCTGCAGAGCAATTATAAATTAGCAGAAAATCACTTAACAAAAATTTTTTTAATTTTACACTGCATTATCAACAAAGACTCATCAGAAATGAATGATCAAATTAATAAAACTTCAATTTATACCAAAAAATTAAATTACAGGATGTAGCAAATATTTTAACTACTGAAAATTTTTACACATTTGTCGAATTATTTTAAAAAAAATTCTTTAGAAACGATTACTTTTGTTTTTTTTTTGTTTTTTTTATAAAAATATTTTTTTTAAAAAAAAAGGGGGGATTTAATGTTACTATTATTTGAACTCACTTTTTTTTATAGTTTTTTAGGAGAAATTTATTTTCGTGCCTGCATTTAGAAATCAATTCCGATTTTTTGTTTAACAAACATTCTTGGTTTGCATGTGTAATTATTTAAATTTTTCTTGTAGTCATAGTATGCATTTTTTGGAAATATTGTTGTATGCAGGCGCTGTTTTTACGATGGACCTATTCAGTATAAAATCATCAATATTTTTATCTTTTAGTTTCCATATATATATCTTTTGAATACTTTTTATTTTTAAAAGATTGCTTATGATTGGCAAAACGTTTTTTCCATTCACCCTCTGTTATGCCAATATATTGTTTATCGGGTACATTCATAGAGAAAACAACACATTTATATACCACATTTTTTGATAAATAACTTCCACTCATTGGACAATTGTTTTTTTGTTTATAATAACAATTTTCTGTAGTTATTTCATTTAGGATTTTTTTTTAATTAACAAAGCATTATTGTGACTTTTTATAATTCTTTCCATATTTTTTGTGCAACTGTAGCTAACTTTAATTGTATTTCGATTAAAAATTTTATGTAATTTATTAGAGGGAGGAAAATGCTTATCGACCAATTTTAAAAACACTTTGTTAGTGGAAACATTTTTGTTATATGGGGGGTTAAACCAAATTACATTACTAGTTCTAATCTGTTTTTTTGTATTCTTTTTTTCAGGGTCAAATTTTAGTTCAAAATTTTCAAAACCACTTTCTTTAAGGGCATCTTCAAATATTCGTTTGGAGGAATTAAATACATTTTCATTAGAGGAGTTTTGGTTTACCCTTTATTAATGGAAATCGGGATTTGTTTTAGAATTTGGGGTGGATGATTTGAGTTAATATTAATATACAATAATTCATCGTTTGGTTTTTTGAAAGGCTTATATGTATTTTCCGAGAGGTTAAATGTGACATCAAGAAAGTTCACAATTTTTAAATTTATGTTTATTTCAATTTGAAAGACAATTTTTTTTAAAAATTTTATTAAAATTTTTTCTAATTTTATCAAGCTGTGGACCAGTTTTTTTACGCATTACTATTAAACCATCGTCGCGATAAAGGCCTAAATCATTTATATTGATTATTTTATTTAATAAATCTAAAATATATAATCCAACAAATTCACAAATTTCTGCTCCATCATAACTGCCCATTGTTACATCAAAGCAGTTATGTATGTTTTTCTTTTTCCAAGTTTCCTTATTAAAAAAAAGTAAGGTTTTTCTACAATGTTTTATTATGCGAATTGTTTCTTCAAGAATAACTGTGTGGCTTTTGGCAAATTCAATTGTTTTATCTAAAATACCTGCACATATTGAGGGGTAAAAATCATTAATATAAAATTGAATAAATGTACAGTCATCTTTATTTTCAATTATGGAGAACCAATTTATAACATAAGTGGTATTTTTCCACTGTTGCAAATTTAATTTATTTCAAAGAATATTAATAATTTTGTTCAATTTAATTTTGCTAACATGTCCTATCTCACTTTTTGAGGGAACCAATAACCTACAAGGAAGTTTGATTTTAAAGTTAGGTTTATGATCTTTTAGTGTTACAAAGGCTTGGGCAGGGGCAGTATATTCGATTCTGTTATCAAGGTTTATTTTTTTAGCAATACTTTGGGCTTCTAAATTAAAAACGTTTTTCAAATTTTTAGGGGCTTTCTCTTTAGAACTAGTAATATTGTCGCGTAAAATTATTTTATAGTTTTCTGTTGTGAGTTAGTAAATGTTATTTGTTTTATCAGCAAAAACCAAAACATTTGGGTTTGATTTAATTTTTTTAACATCCAACTTTACTTTTGTTTGAAATTTATTTTTTATAGGGTGAAACTTTATTGTTTTAATTAAATGCAATAGGTCATTTTCAAAGTTTTCTCTTTTGGTATAAAAGGTGGGGTATTTTTTGCTTTAAATCCATAATTATCATTATTTTGGTTATTATTAAATACATCATCTGTGTATATATTTGGTTTCAAGTAGAAATGGGCTTTCCAACGAGTTCTTTTATACCGATATTTCCATAAGTCATAATGATTTTCTAAACCTTGGTCCAAATTTTGTACCATCTTCAAAGTCGATACCATACATGGATATTATAACAACCTCAGAGTCTTCTGCGTTAAAATTAGAATACAACAACAAAGTAGAAAACGCACAAGATTTAAGGAAAAATGTTTTAAGAATATTAAAAACAGAGAAAAAAATAAATAACAATCTGACAAAAGAACAGAGGATATCTTTTAGAGAAATAAAAAACGATAAAACCATTGCTATATACCCGTTTGACAAAGGGTTTTGTAAGAATTGAACATTCTAAAGCTTTGGAAAAAATCCGTGAACAAATTGGTCCGACAAAAATTTTTAGTGAAGACCCTACTGCCAGTTACGCGGAAAAAATTAGAAGATTTCTTTCAAAACTAAATAAAAAACAGCGTTTTTCTAAAGAGGAATACGAAAAAATATATCTAGGTGATCCTATCCCACCTCGATTGTATGGAGTAATTAAAGTTCATAAACCAGAAAAGTCGTACCCTATGAGAATAATTGTTTCTTCCATTGGCACACCAAACCACGGAATATCAGAGTTTTTTGTTAAAACAAAACAGCCAGTCTTATATGAAAATCCAACACGATTAAAAAACTCTTTTGACTTTATAAAAAAAGCAGAAAATTGGAATGTCTCTAACAATGATAATCAAGTTTCTTATGATGTTGTAAATCTGTACCCGTCAATTCCGTAAAAAGAAGCCACCGTTATACTTTTAGAACAATTAAATAACAGTTTATCATATAAAAACTTAACAAAACTAAGTATACCTGAAATAAACAACTCATAGAACTTTGCTTATATCAGATTCACATAATGGAAAACTCAGGACCAATCGGATTTTCTTTCATGGTTGCTCTCGCGGAGTTTTTTCTACAATTGCATGAAAATATTGCAACTAAAATGGCTTTGACAATGAATCCTGCACTTAATCTAAAATCATTTTTAAGATACGTTGACGACATTCATGCAAGATTTCCTAACATCGAACAAGCAAAACAGTTCCAAGATATTTTAAATCAACAACATCCTGCAATTCAATACACAAGTGAAGTTGAAAACGAGACAAAAACACTTAACTTTTTGATATTACCATTACAAATAACACACTAAGAAAATATGAGTACAAAGTATATCGAAAAGAAGAAATCACTAACATTCAAATTAAAACGCATTCAAATCACGATCCAAATATTTTAAAAACTATATTTAAAGGTTTTCTCCACAGAGCTTACTCCATCTGTAATAAGCATCATTTGCAAAATGAAAAAAATTTTTTAACTGACATGTTTGTTAAAAATGGGTACGACGAAAAGCTATTGAGGAATATTGCACACCAATTTCATCAAAAAAGACAAAATAAAAACACAATTCCATCAGAATATAATAATCTTCCTGTTGTGCATACCATGTTTACCATGGGT